TCCAAATTTCCGGCAAATAATGCAGCCATCAAACTGTCGTCCTCAGAAAAATCCATCTGATATTCTTTGAATTTTTCGGGTTGTTTAATTTTCCTTTTTGGTCTTTGCTCATTGTCTCTATGCAAAAAATCTTCATTTCCATCGTCATCATTGTCATCTCTAGGATCTTCATTATTGTCACTAAAATCTTCATTACTCTCAGACGAGCTCTCAGAGTTATCATAATTTTCTTGTTCTTTGTCATCATAATCTTGGTTCACTTTCAATTCTTTTGTTGTGCTGGTGCAATTATTTTCAGTTTTTGTTTCATCGAAAACAACATTTCGAGCAGAAATTATTTTATTTTCTCTAGGATTCCACAAGCGGTATCCATTTTCTGTGTATCCTACATGAAACATTTTTTGACTTCTTGGATCTAGCTTATTCTTCCTGTCTCCTGCAGGAATATGCACATAACAGACACAACCAAAAATTCTTATCTTACTTAAGTTTGGCTTTTCACCATACCACAACTCTGCAGGCGTAAGGTTTCTAGGTAGAGTAGAGGTGGGAGATCTGTTGACCAAGTACGCTGAAGTAGACACAGCTTCTTCCCAAAAAGACTTCCCCATATTGGCTTCAAATATGAGACACCGAGCTTTGTCTAGAAGGGTTCGATTGTACCTCTCGGCCACCCCATTCTGCTCTGGAGTTCGTGGTATAGTAAATTCCATTTTGATACCTTTTTGATGACAAAAGTTCCTAAACTCATGAGAAATGTATTCTCCCCCATTGTCACATCGCAGTCTCTCTGGTAAAGTCTTGAACTTGTTTTCTACCATGGCAATATACATCCTAAACTTTTGAAAAGCCTCACTTTTATTTTCTGAGAAATAAACTGCTGCAAAGTGAGAGTAATGGTCAATAAAAGTGATGAAATACTTTTTGCCATTGTGAGAGACCGGATTTAGTGGACCACACACATCACTAGATATACATTTCATGATTTTATTCGCCTTTCTTTCTTCTGGTAAGTTATGAAAAGGTTTTCTAGTTTGCTTACCTTTTAGGCACACTTCACATGTCGTGGTAGGGGGGTATCTTGAAGAATGGCCCATCCTCCTATGCCATAAATCTTTTTCCTGAACTGAAGTTAGATTTGCCTGTACTGATGATGAATATAACTTCACAACATACAAGTTGCCTTCTAGGATGCCTTCTGCTAACACATTATCATTCCTTTGCTTTATGAAATTTTTTCCAGCTTCAGAAATTATTTTGTTTCCATTGGATTCAATATTCTTAACCGTAAGCAAGTTGTGGGTGAGGTTCTTGCAAACCAAAACATTTTCAAGCCTTATTTTTTGACCTATTCTGTTTCTAAGTGCATCACCCCCTGAATGTTAGCAGTCACACTCTGTCCTTCTTTGGCAACTCTTATCTTGTGGTTTACCTCCTTCTTTTGAGACAAAAACTTCTCAAATTCTGTTTTTACTAAGTGATTAGTACAACCGGAATCTACAACAAACTTTATCATGTTTCCTGTGCTTCTAATTTGATCTTTTGAATTATATGTTATAAAGGCAACCTCAGTATCTGTCTCTTCTTGGGTCAAGTTTGCTTTTTTGCCTTCCTTTTTCTTAGATGGCTCCTTATTTTTGGGACACTCGTATTTTTTGTGGCCCTTTTGCCCACAGCCATAGCACTTGAAAGGAAATTTCGAGGTGAATTTTTTCTTGAATTTTTGACCACCAGAAAAAGCACTTCCTTGACACTCACTTGGATTTTCTTCTTTGTGTTTTTGTTCTTCAGCAAGTAGCTTGCTCTTCACAAAATCTAAACTAATTGTACTAGTACCTTGTGAAAATAAGATATCGATAGCAGTTACTACACTTTGGTACTGGGGTTCAGTTATAGAGGCCAGCAATTGAGATACTACTTCCATATCATCAATTTTTCCACCAGCTTTACGAAGCTCAACTACTGTTTTCTCAAATTCTACTTGTACTCACTCAAAGATTTCCGGTTATTGTATCTCATGTTCCTGAGTTTTCTTTGAAGCTGAACTTGAGAGGCAACTCCTGTTTTATGATAAGTATTACACAAGGTATCCATATATTCCTTTGCTGTAGTCTTAGTTTTTATCATTTCTAAGACACTGTCACTCAGACATTGAACTATCAGGTTTCTAGCACGTAAATCCTTTTTCTTCCAAGCAGCCTGTTGGGTAATATCAGCAGGAATTTCCTCAGAAAGTACCTGCAGGACATCATGGTGCTCTAATAGCAGCTTCAACGGGAATTCCCAATTGACAAAGTTTGTTCCATCGAAAGGTTTTACGGGTATACTGTTTGTACCTGACCCTGACATGGTTTTCCTTCCATTGTCTTTCCTGTACAAACGTTTTTAAAACCTCTTTTGTGTCCAACAGCGTTTCACAAAATACCACTTTAAAATCACTAGTTTTACTACCCGTGGACCCAAAACACACTGGGCTACATAACCTCTAAGACTCAGAGGACTTTAGTAAAACTAATTAACCGATTTTAAAGAACTTTTATTTGTTTAATCGCAAAAAAACTAAGACAATTCCCTGTTGTTTTACAACTCTGATTAACTCTGTCATTAATTCCAGAAAAAGCTTAGAGATGTCAACAACAACCGTCAAAGAAACTGTGACAGCAACCAAAAGCGATTTCATTTAGTGCACTCTGTACTGCACTCGGTAATGCACTGAACTGTTATGAGAATTGTAATTAGAGTACGTTCACAAAATCAAATAGGCACTACATATAAGTTAACAAAATTTAATGTGAATTCTATGGAAACTCTGAAAAAATTTTACATGTATTTTCTTTTTCAGAATAACATAATTCTACCAAAATTCCACTAAATTATGGAGTTCTGAGAGACTTTGACAGATTTTTGGGGATTTCAAAGGATTTTTGGTGATTTCAAAGGATTTTTGGGAATTTCAAAGGAAATATTTTTTAGGAATGTTAATGATTTTATGAGATTTTGTAGGATTTTTTTGGTTTCATTGAAATTTTGTTAGATTTTGTAGGATTTTATGCAATTTCAAGAGATTTTGTTAAATTTTTAGGGAGTTTAAAGATTTTTAGGGATTTTGTGTAGATCTTATAAGATTTTCTGGGATTTCGACCAACTTGTACACAGATTTTGACCAGTTAACCACCCCTCGAAATAAACTATCCCACTGGACATGTGTTAAGTTTGCTAAGAAGGCCTGTTCGTCAAATTTTTCAAAATCTCTAAAAGTGATAAGTTTAACCATTTTTGTCTTTAATGGTATTTCTATATTAGAAAAAGTCAGCATATATGATCACTTAACTCACTTGCATCAAGTCGAGCGTCAAGTGTACCACTCTCAATCATTATATCTTTATTCAGTACAAAAATTGGGACTACCAAGGTGCCAGAATCATTGCTAATTCTAGTTGGTTCATCTATCACCTGTGAAACGCCATAGCTCTCAAATAATTGACTCATAGGATTCATAAGATTTATCATATCAATATTTTAATCGCCAAAAACTACAATATAATTATCAACGGGCATAATTTCAGGCACAAAATTATTCAAAACATTCCAAAATGTTATTCCCTGTACGATACAATACCCCAATTGCCATTGTTGTTTTCCTATACAATCTTATCCTAATCCAAAAATATTCAAAACCTGCTACAACAGGTGAATCAGTAAACTGTATACAGTCACACTGCAGTCCAGACGTTACATAGATGCCAATGCCTCCCCCTCTTCCTGCCCCTTGGTTTATTCTAAAGAAGTTATAGCCCAGAAAATGATGAAAACGTTTTTTTAAAATTGAAGTTTTTTCCAAATATCTTTGAAAGCATAATGCCGAAACAGCATTTTATAGAACATCAATTTATATTCTACTTTGCCCTAATTCAACTGATCTCTTTTCGTTTCTGAGGCTCCAATGGCTTACCTTGAAAAACGGACACCCTGTATAAATTCACTACTTTTAAATTCTATCATGTTTTATCAATGATCAGATTTCTTGTCTTGTCTTGCTTGCTGATAGTTTTATTTCCCAAATGCTTCACCATGGCTAACACACTGTATGTGCTAATTCTGTTGGAAAAATCTCCTACAAATGGGACTATGAAAAGGATGACTGGAAAAAATGAATACACAAACAACTAAACTCCGAGCTAAACTCTTAACAATCATCACTATCTTAATCATATCACAGTCAATCTTAAACTTGAAAACTACTAACTAATACCGGCATTCATATATCTGTAATCCATTCTTGTATAATCCAAAATAAACGCGATAATCTCTTTGCCCGAATAAAGCAGTCTTTTCTGGAATTTTAGGCATGGATTCTGTATATCATGGCGAAAGCACATCGCGACAATACAAAACCAAAGATGGTTTATGAATAAATAAAAAAATAAATTTTAATTAAATACATATTGAGGGATGTCTCCATATTCATATCATCCTCATTACAGATTAATAAATGAAGGTGGAAGATAAACAACACTAACTTAATCATACAGTAACACATTGTATTAGAGAAAGTAAACAAACTATTTTTAAAAGAAAAAAAACCATTTCCATAAATCAACTACTTAGGCAACTATGTAATTGCTTAGATAAAAGAAAAAAACGTAGAAACTGAAAAATAACAAAACACATATACTAAAGGAAAAAAATGCCCAAGCTAAATCACCATAAGTACTTGATACCTAGTGACCTGAAGTTCTTAAAATGTATTTTCAAGTTTCATGGTTTTTATTACATCTTAATAAGAAATTACTTGAACAACAATTTTAATATTTACCAATATGGATATTTTCTGTTAGGCAATAAATGATTATAAATATTATAACTATACATAAAAGTTAGCTTTGGGGTGATCCTCAGTGGAGTAACAATAATTTCTGGTATAATTAATTACTCATCATTGTAAACTCTAAATTTAACTTTCATTACATTTCTAATTTAACATCATTATAACATTCCAGGACGCAAAGACAGAGATCCATTGTGACTGAAGGTGTATACAGTAATGCTGTATTCATGCATGCCGCTACTTCCCAAGTAGGGAATGTGGCTAGGATAATGACGGCTTCAGGACAAGTATGGGAAGGTAACATTTGTTAATAATTTGTTTGGTTGCATTTAATTTACATTTTGTTTAATAGGTGTATTTAAAACTTATTCTCAAAATTTCGACGTTGCACTGGAGGTCGTGACAAGAGTCGAAAATCCTGATGGACCTGATTGTCGTTTATTGACTGAAACTCACCAAGATCGATTAATCTTTAAACCTTGTGATATTTTAAGTATGACATTCAAGAATGTCGATTTGGATTATCCTGTTAAGGATACATTTCAGGTAAAATTAATCTTATACTAAACAGTTTTTTGTTTAAATTTATACATTATTACAGACTGACACTGCAATCTCAGCAAGACTTAATGGTAGTAAATCTGAAGAAAAAGAGTTGGAGCCTTGGGACGCTGGCCAACTAAATGGCAACGATGTAAGCTTAGATTTGGATGCATCCAACGGCTGGGATGTACAAGATATGTTCCGTAAAAACGAGCAGGAATATGGAGTTCAATCCACTTTCGATCATTCACTAAGGGGCTACACTGTACCATTACAAACAAGCGATACTGCTGATTATAAAGAAGCTGCAGCTAAAGCAGAACAAATAGCCAGTGAGATTGAAAGTCAACCAGCATACAAGGCCCGTTTGGAACTTGAAAATGGTGACGAAGAGGCTGCTTTTGCTTCAGTAGTAAGGCCAACCCAGAACCCACAAGAAGCTTCTAATGGCAAATATATTCCCCCTGCAAAAAGAAAGGGCCAAAATAATGGTAAATTGGTCCGAAGTACTCCACCTCCATCTAGTGGTTCAAGTAGTCAAAATTCACCTTCCCCTAAAGAAACTAGGCCCCCAGTTCAATATCCACCACCACACGTAAACCATCAAAGCAACATACAAGTTTCAAGTAGGAATAAATGTTTTAATTCATATTTGGAATTAATAAACTATTATTTTTATTTTAGATGCCCATCCACATAGTACTCCTCCTCAACAGCCTCATGTGCAACCACCCCCTCAACAAATTCAACATGTGATCCCACCGCCACATTTGCATAACACGATGCCTCCTCAATTGGTACAACAGATGCAGAATATGCCTCCACAAGTACATCAACCAATGGTAATCTTTTTCATCAATTGACCAAATTAAGCTTTAATATCTTGAATATACGCATTACAATGCTTACAATTAATTATTTTTTTTGCAGCCAATGCCCCCACATGTCCCTATTCCTAACAATCCACCGCCAAGACCAAGCTCTCACACACCTCCTCACCAATACCAGCAAGGACCTCCACCCAGACAAGGTGGTCCTCACGGAGTACCTCATACTGGTCCACCACCACACGGCAAGCCTCAAATGAATGGAGATATTAAATCTGGGCCACAGCAACGCCAACAAAGGCATCAATATCAACAACAGCAAATGCAAGAGAGAGTTGGACCTCAGGGACATCCACAGGTTCAAATGGCTTATCAGGAAGTAAAACAAGTAAGTTTTTTTCTTTTCTGCTTTTCATAGGTACCTATTTTATTCAACATTTGAAGGTCTCTCAATCTTAATTCAGCTTATGTTTCTGTTTGTAGTGGCTGTCTTGTTTTTTCATTTTCTATTTATTCAAGAAGAGACTTCGTTTTTGTAGTTTGCCATTCTGGCAATTCCCTTTTTTTTCTTTGTATTTATTTTTAATTTATACTTTAATTATTTTCTTTTATCACATTATTTTTTCAGCTTTGTTATTTTTTTAGTCTGCTTTGCCTGTTTTTGGTTTTTCATTCTTCTACTAATACTGGAAGATTTAGGTGACTCATTTTCCCATACAAGCCTTGAAGAGAGTTGGGTTATTCACGATATTTTGACCTCCCACCTGCAGCCTTTACCTTTACAGGTAGATGATAGGTGTGCTGTAAATACAGTAGTTTTGCAGTTTTAGCAAAATTTTTAGAATCCATCGTCAGAAACAAAAAATTATTGTCAGAAATTTGAAATTTTGCGTATTTTTAACTTTTTTAAAATGGAATGGTTCTATATTCTTGAAGAGCACAATTTTCCGATTCCAAAAATATATAATTTGTCTATATTTGGTTTAGCCGTCTCCAACATATTTGGCTCTAAAAATTATAAAAATACTATTAGAGGAATCAAGTGCCTCAAATTTTATCTGCAGTTTTCACCTTTACAGGTAGAATGGTTTACAAAATCCATTGTCAGTAGAATAGTATTTTCACAATTTTTAGAGCCAAATATGTTGGAGACGGCTAAACCAAATATAGACAAATTATATATTTTTGGAATCGGAAAATTGTGCTCTTCAAGAATATACAGCCAAATATAGGGCATAAAAGGAGAGAACGAAGTATTAAAAAGGGAAAATCAAGAAATTAAAAGAGAGAATACAGAAATAAAAACCGAATTGCAAGAGGTGCGAAAAACAATAGAAAACGATACTAACCTGACTCACTCAAATATGAGTTATTCTCATTATAGGAAAACATGGCGAAAAGGTTAGGAATAATAATGGAGAAAGACTGCTTGATCTTTGTGTGCTACATAACTTTATAGTAACTAATACATTTTTCGAACATAAAGAGATAAAGTCTGACAAATACCATTTTAAAGTCACGTGATAATGGTGGCAAAAAACGTATGTTCATTGATTATGTCCAATGAACTATAACCAAAAACTGGAATGCGAACACATATTGACGAACGTGAAGCCTAGTGCCGCTGCTGCGGAGGGGATACCTGTTTTTGTCGCACTCATTATGTTAAATGGCGGAAATTGCTTCCAACACGTATTCCAATTGATGAAACCTGTGAAGGTAAATATGACAAAACTTTCCAAAACGTCATATTATGTCAGCGAGCAACAGAAAAAAACAATATTCCCCTTTGTGGCATCTGTCTTTCATGGCTACATTTTTTTGGCACATATGGCAATGTGTGCGCATTCCAGTTTTTGACTATAGTTCATTGCAGTGGCGGTCCATAGATGATTTTCTGGGGGGGGTAATGGATGACGGGAAAATCATTAAGTGTCAAATGGCTTCCTGCCGGAGGCGAAATTTTTTTAAGGGTGCCACGTCCAAATTTGCACCTGAAAATCGTCTGAAACACACCTCAAGCAAAAATGTATCCCGATGCCGGCAAAATAGTTATACAGGATGTCCACTTAGTAGACGATATCTCCTTTCAGGGTAATGCAAGAAAAAAAAATTAAATTACAAAGTTGTTTGATACTCTAAGATCCATTAGTAGTTTAAAATATTTTTGAATATACACAGGGTGTTCCGTAAATGAGGTATGTGATAGACCTTTGTTATTTTAAATGGAACACCTTACATTTTAGAACATTAATGGATTGTTCTAACAATCCTATATACTTTTTCTTAGGAACTACCTATACCTATATATAACTACCTATACTATACCTACGCTAATGGATCAATTATGTGCACATCTGTGAGCAAATCTATAAATTTCTATAAAAACTCGACCCTTTTTGAAATATTTGAAACTTTTTCAAAAAATCGAAGTTCGCACTAACCCAAAAAGTGGGACACTCGACTGACAGGTCTTGTAATTTTGCATAAATCAGTCTATTTTGCGTAAATCAGTCTTTTCTTTTCAATGGATTTTTTGTCAAATATGACAATTCCTGTCATTGTCTTAGGTATAGCTGGGTGAACCCGTTTTACAATAGGAAAAAACGGGCGTCCCACTTTCTGACTCTGTGCTCATGACTGATAATTTATTGCATAATATTGATCATGAATTTATTTACTGTATTGAAATCAAGCCAATAATCGGATTGAAATTTGAACCCATCACAAGTTACGAACGCCTAGGCTGTGACGTCATACCGGCTTTGGAAGTACAGTTTTAACACGTGCAAGAATTTTTCAAAACAAATGTCCACGATCTCATTAGAGCGAATGGCAACCACTCAAAGTATAGGGCACGGTTCACTGAGGACTGAACGAACGGGAGGCTGGCATTTCGGCGTTTAGCCGGTGTGACGCTACAAGTGTTCGCATAATTTATCTGCATAAAAAAACATTCAGATTTCATGTATTCGAATGCAGGAAAATTTCTACATTCAAGTACTTTTTGAAATATTTGAAACTTTAAAAAAAAATCGCAGTTTGCATGTGTCAGTGTCAATGCATGTATCAGCAAAAACCAACACATTTCATTCATTTGAGATCCTTAAGCTAAATCTTTTGCAGGCTGTTAGTGTATACTTACATTTACTTCATGGTCCTATGAAAATCTGATAACATTCTATAGGGTGTTCGCAATACTGTAACTGTACACAAAACCAGATATTTCAAACAACCATAGCTTTTTTTTCAAATGAAATACCTTTTATTTCACTGTATAGTAGTAGGTACAGTTGCGATCAAAAAAAAGTAGTACAAAAATTATTAGCTCCAATTTGAGCTCCCGGTGTAACATAAAAAAATTTGACAGGCAATGACATATTCTAGGTTAAAAACGGGTGGAAAAATGTCAAAATAATGTCATCTAAAGCTTTCTAGGTTAAAAACTTGTCGAAAAATGCCAAAAATATGTCATTTTTGGTTATGAATTAAATTAATGTATAATAGACCAGGAAATTTTGGAGATTTTGCTTGTACTACTTTTTTTTAATCGCAACTGTACGTCGATACTGGTGAGCCTATCAATTTATACAATGCCTTCTATGCTTTACTTTATAGAACTTGTCTTTTGTTGAAATTTTATTCTTAAGTGTTCAAAAAAAATCTTTGTCTGGGGGGGGGTAATTACCCCCTCTACCCCCCCCCTTTAAACCGCCCTTGGTTCATTGATTATGTCGTTGATATCACCTATAAAAAGCTACTGGTACTACTGGTAGTTAATTACTATTGAATTTTAAGATATGTTCCCACTAGCATTTTACAAACGCGTTTCTGAAGTAGTATTAACCAATCAGATGGGAATTTTAATACTTGCAATTGTTGCGAGACTCACTTTTGTCGCATGTGCTGTCCGTTTGTAATACATTCTAAACTTGAATTGGGTACCCGTTTTCTATTTGCTTCTTTTCGAGTTGGAAAAAGGTTAATATAGTCAAAATTATTAAAATCTGTTTTTTTTTTTAAAGATAAAAGTCAAAATGACATTATGTTGGCAATACAATGTAAAATTGTCAATGCTTTCAAATTTTTTATGTAGAAAAGGCTTGTGTTGCCAACAAAGTTACTAAATTTTTGACTTGGGGAATTATCTTTAAAAAAAAAACAGACTTTAGCTGTGTTTATTCGTTGTATCATTTTCGAAAATAACTTTGACAATATAGTATTGGCGCGCGCAAGATGGCGAACGGAAAATCACTGAAGTGTGGCATTTGTGATAAAAATATAACTAAATCTAAGCCTAGTTTGAATTGTGCTACTTGCCAGAGGTGGTTCCACCCTGACTGCGTTGGGGAGATCCGAAGACTGCAGAAGGATAAAATATCATGGAAATGTGGAAAGTGTAAACATAGTGAGGTTAGGAAGAGTTTAACCCTGTCTTCTTCCTCTTTGCAAAATTCTGGCACTAGAGCAAGTGTTCATGGTGCCGGCTTACCTGTGACAGCCCCGGTGGCTTTTGGCCAGCTGTCTTTTGAACAGCTGACCGAAGGCCAACCCCAACCCCAACCTCAAAACGATGATGTCAAAAGAATTCTGTCGGAATTACAGGAAATGAGAAGAGAATTTGGGAAAGAAATCAAGGTTCTCCAGGAGTCCTTACAATTCATAAATAATCTCTTCGAGGCCGAAAAGGATAAGAATAAGAAAATGGAGGAGTGCATGGGGGAGATTAGGGCCGAAAATCAATACCTAAAAACTGAACTGGAGTATGTCAAGGGCTTTGTTCGGCGTGAGGAAAGTCTCAAAATACGAGACAATATTGTAATAACTGGAATCTGCAATGATCCCAGAGAGGAAATCGACCATGTGAAGAACAAGACCATAAGAGTGCTCAAATTTCTAGATGATTCGGTTACTAATCAGGACATTGTTGATGTAAAACTAATTAATCCAAGGGAGACTGGTGCACTGGTACAGGTGAAACTGTGCAGCGTAGAAAAAAAGATCCAACTCTTGAAAAAGCGCTACCAAAAGGGTAAATTGTCTGGCGACATCTGTAATATTCCAAATACCAAATTTATATATGTAAACGAAGAATTGACTGTGTCAACGTATAAGCTCTTAAGAAATGCCTATCAGTTGAAAAACTATGGATACCAATTTGTATGGCAGAGAGGAGGAACAGTATTAGCAAAGATCAATGAAGGGACAAATACTATCCGAATCAAGTCGGAGGAGCAGGTGACTGAAATGATCAGCAATGCAACAATGTAGGAGGACAGGGTAGACAAATGAATGTGGGTTTACATTGCATAAATGGAGCCAGGTGGGATCCTGGACAATTTTTTAATTTGTGATTGTAATTACTGTGATGATATATCTAACATAAAG